CCCCCCCAATCTTGACACGACACCAGTGGCCACCACATCAGAACGCCCGCGAAAAGATAGGATAATTCCCTAGCGCCTTGCCGTATGTGGTACGATCCTTTGAGCTTTGGCCCAGGAATCAGGTCGTTTCCGAGTTCGAACCATCTTCTTATCTCCGTTGGATCCAAAGCCTGTTCTCCCTTTATCGCTAAGACTCCAATCTACATGCTATATATATGGCACTACCCCGCCACCCTTTGGCTCCGCGGAGATTCACATTTCAACGCTCCAAACACCACCACGGCCTTATCTCTCAACCGACTGGGTGCTAGTCAATGCCCCTGGACAAAAGCCACCCTACAGCGGCTCGGGGATCGCAGTAATTAGCCTCGTCCCTTATCGCGGCTCTTGTCTGATCGCCCTGCTGCAGCCCGTCACACCTGGCAGACCTGGCACCCCTGACCAATGGCATGTTGGATATTTGACCACGGACGACCACCTTATCGTAGGTGAGCAGCTTGGCTTGCAGCTAGGAGCTCCCCAGGCTAGCACGTCGTAGTAGCTTCGGTACATGACCGCCAGTCTGGACGCCTGATGATGATGCTGTAGCAGGCCTTATCTCGCCATGCCATGCCATGCCCACGCGAGGACGCGTCTTGTCTGCCGACCTGCATTCTTTGAGACAGGACATGGAACCCCAAGTCAGAAAGCACATGCAAATCAGTTCCTACCATTCGTCTGAATCGTTATCTCTGCCGGTTAATTCAGCTCCGAAAATTGGCTGCCCTTTCTCGCTCGCTTGACTGATTACCAACGCCTCGACACTTAAGGTTATCTATCCAGGAGCTGTCAGGGGCTCATGGTTTGTTTCTCTAAAACACCAAAATATTTCTCGGGAGCTTCACATTAAAACCTCTGAATATATATAATTGCAGAGCAAGTGTTCCGCCAAAAACGATCGTTACCGTTGGGAGGCTACCACGTTATCAACTTATCGGCCACTGAGACTCTGTAACACTGCATTTCAACGGGCCGCTTTTAGCCCCCGTCATCAGCCCAGTTCTTATCGGATTAACGAGGAATCGTTTGCAGAAATCTGGTTTGAGCATCTCCGGGCCTCCGGATTATCACTGGCTTGTTCGCTCACCACAGTCTCATTGAGACAGCAAAGCCAGATAGACCTCTTATCGACTCGAATTCCCACAAAAAAGATCTAGGAAATCCGGAGATACAGTTTTCGATATTCTTGTCAATCTGGGGTCGTGGAGTATACGATATTCTCTTTCTATATATCTTCTAAGCATTGTCCATTTCCAAAAAAGATATTCACCAAGCTCAGCATCGACAAGCAACTCAGGGACAAAGGGAAGCCTCTTAGCTCTCACAAATTCTTTCATCCGTTCTCAAGAGAGTCAAATTAGTTGTCTTGACATTTCCCAATCTCATCGATTAGCTTGCTCAAGATGGGTTTTCAAATCACCCACCTGTGGAAGGCCCCTGAGGTCAACCCCATCAGCCGAAAAGCACGAAGTGTGCCTATGCTCAACCCTATCGACATGTATGGTCGAGTATTCTCTTTCTCATGGCTCGGTTTTATGCTTGCTTTCTGGGCATGGTGAGTCTCAAAAATCCAAATGTTGGCAATTTGATAATCTGACTGAGATTTCAGGTACACCTTTCCACCCCTGTTGACTGTCACTATCAAACAAGATCTTCATCTTACACCGGCTCAAATCGCAAACTCCAACATCGTATCTCTATCTGCTACTTTCTTCCTTCGATTCTTGACCGGCCCTCTTTGCGATCTCTATGGACCTCGACGTGTATTTGCCTACTTGATCCTCCTCGGCTGCTTTCCCATTGGCCTCGCACCGCTTGTCAACAGCGCCACTGGCTTATATATCTCTCGATTCTTCATTGGCATCCTAGGTGCAACCTTCGTGCCTTGCCAGGTTTGGTGCACTGGTTTCTTCGACAAGAATGTTGTCGGCACTGCCAATGCCCTTGCTGGTGGCTGGGGTAATGCAGGTGGTGGAATGTAAGTGAACACCCTCTCATGGCACTTCAAGCCTTTCGATATGTAAAAATTGCCAAGGAAAGAGTCTAACTATCTGCATAGCACTTACTTTATCATGCCTGCCGTCTTCGACTCACTAGTAGCTCATCAGGGCATGTCCCCTTCCAAGGCATGGAGGGTTACCTTCATTGTCCCCTTGATCTGCCTGGTCGTCTGCGGTCTCGGAATGCTGTTCCTTTGCCCCGACAGCCCTATCGGATCGTGGGAGGACCAGGCTATGCTCGTCAAAAAGAACATGGAGGCTCATGGAATGTCTAGCTCTGGTGACGTGACCCCCATCGGTACACCTGACCGCTGCGGTTCAGATGAGGAGAAGAACCCCGGTGAGGAGAGGGATGTCAAGGTTGGCGACCACGAGCACCCTATCTCGCGCAACGAGGCCATTGAGTTCGCTCGAGGCGAGGTCATTGTCAAGCCAACTCTTCATGAAGCCCTCCATGTCTGCTACTCTCCCCAGACCATCTTCCACGTGGCGACCTATGCATGCTCCTTCGGTGGCGAGCTTGCTATCAACGCTATCCTGAGCTCCTACTTCAAGAAGAACTTCCCCCACCTCGACCAGACCAAGGCCAGCAACTACGCCGCTATCTTTGGTTTCCTCAACTTCGTCAACCGACCTCTTGGTGGAGTCATTGCCGACATCATCTACAACAAGTGCGGACGCAACCTCTGGCTCAAGAAGGCCTGGATCGTCGCTTGCGGTGTGCTGACTGGAGCTCTTCTCATTGTCATTGGAAAGGTCAACCCTTCTGAAGCCAATGGTGGTGATATTGGTACCTTGGTTGGCCTCATCGTGGTCATGGCCATCTTCATCGAGGCTGGCAACGGTGCTAACTTTGCTCTCGTACCTCACGTTCACCCCTCTGCCAACGGTATCCTCTCAGGCCTGACCGGTGGTGGTGGTAACATTGGTGGTGTCATGTTTGCTGTTGTCTTCCGCTTCATGCACGGCGGTAATGACTACGCCATGGGTCTCTGGGTCATTGGTATCATTACCATTGCCTTGAACTTGGCGGTTTGCTGGATCCCTCCTCTGCCCAAGGGCCAGATTGGCGGCCACTAAGTGCAGAGTTGCAGCATTGGAAAAGTGAAAAAATTGCGAATGGGATAGACGAGTGTTTTATGAGCTTGTTAACTGGTTTACACGGCGAGCGGGCGCGTACTGGAATTGGTCACGATCTGGGAATGGTTAAACTATCGTTGGGATAGAAGGAATTGGTATGGAACAGCTAGGATATCCCGCCGCATCAGGCTCGATGCGAGATTTATTTCATGAATATTACTGGATTATAAATGAATAAGTTTCTTCGAAGTCGTGTGTTTTCGACGTGATTCTTATCGTGTTTAGAGCCAAGTGCACATATTCTATGGGCCCAATCTCCCATTATTCTCATTAAGCTGTACAGCGTCATTCATCATGATCACTGTGATGATACTTGCATGACCCGTGACCCTTTTTTGACAGCCGGCGATCAATTGACATCCTCTTTAACCAAGACCATATGACGTGCGCAATGAAACATTCGATGGTCCTGTCGATCAGTAGCCATAAACGCCGCGCCCGTTTGACAGAGAGACAAGAGGCGCGCTACAGTTGCACAGGGCGGAAAACGGGCTTTTTTATGTCTCTCCATTGAGGAGTTGTGAGACGGGACACGAATATGAGACCTGCGTACGCAATCAACTACACGCCGAGTTTTTACATGTCGCCGTTACTGGATCAACATGACAACGAGACTTGGTAAGTGTTTCTTATAAATAGGTCTCCATTGCCATGATTCTCACACGATGGAATTGTCTTGTCGTGCTTGGAAGTGGGAAATACCATCAAGTGGCCTTTTATGTCGACGCAGCTTTAGTTGTATGACGACAAACCTGTACCCCCTGCACCAATTCTCAGCAAGGGCCCCATCCCAAGCATTTGATCAACAGGGAGGGTTAACAACAAAACAAACACCATGAGTCTATCTTTAGTTACCGTCTCACAGCATCTGCATTCCAGTCAGAGGTCGGTGGCATGAGGCTTCAAGCTCATGCCAAGGCCGCCACTCCCGGTGACGGTTGAAACGGACATGACGGCTTTGCAATGCCTAAACATTCCTGTCAGCTGTAGGGCCTCATTAATAGGTGGGCGTGTAGATAACATATGATTGCGACGAGACGACGTCAGGGAACTAATGGGCCAACTCGTCTCAACTTTCTTATGTACGCGATTAGAAGGGAACCTGGCAAGACAAGGACATGCAGACAAGCAAGTCCAAAACAGAGAAGAATAGACAGATGATTTGCTTCCTCTCTCTATACGGAGTACATAGAACCTGATCTGCAATGTAGGTTAGATTAGCCAGTACCGCCCTAAATGCATATGCAGCCAAGGTTTCATCCCGGTAGTTTCATCCTGCGAAAATCTTCATGTCAATACGAGCAAACTAGGTGGCAACTACATCACTCATCGCAGTTCAACGCAGCTTGAAGTACATTTCAGTGTTGAAAGAAATGGGTATTGTAGCAATAACACTAGTCGACAGGAATCTCTTGGGAAAACAAAAGCTGGGTCATATGTCTATTAGACGTAGCGGCGGAGGAACACATGGCAGCTACATCAGGGGAACTTGATCAAGACAAATAACCCAAGTGGGTTTTATAGTTTTTCCTCAATACATTAACAATCCAGAAAACCTTCCAACTCGTAGATACCAACAAAAGAAGCAACGTATGTGCGCAACAAAGGCCTGATATACCCAGACTGCTCCATACCTGAAGAAACGAGAAACCCTCTAAAATGCAGTCATGAAGTCATGACGCCACGCAGGAACCAAAGATTAAATTGGTGCGCGGCCTCGCTTACAGAGCGAAAGCGGCCATGACGAGACCAGCAACCACGGCAATGGGAGCGCCGAAGCGGGCAGCACCAGAGACGGGGACGGGAGTAGGGGTGGGCTGGCCGTAGACGGGAGGCTTGCCAGCGGGCTGAGTAGGAACAACAGGAGGCTGGGCAGGGTGGGTGTAGACGGGAGGGTTGGGAGTAGTGCCGTTGTGGGCAGGGGGAGCAGGAGGAGCAGGGTAGTGAGTCTTGACAACGGGGACAAAGGTGGTGGGAGAACCAGCAGTGTTGTTGCAAGGGACGGTGACGGTCTCGGAAACAGCAACGACGGTGGTCTCAGGGACGGGGTAAGCGGGCTTGGTAGGCTTGGGGGCGACGGAGGAGGGGACCTCGTAGTCGTTCTTGGTCTGAGAGGGCTTCTCCTCGGACTTCTTGCCACCCTCAATCTTGAAGGGGAAAGAGTACTGGAAAACCTCGGGGTTGCTCTCGAGCTTCAGGACGAGACCGTAGACGTTCTCGGTTCCGAGGGTGGAGTCAATGGCCCAGCTGTAGGAAGCAGCGTCGTTGTCAATGCCAGCTGAAGGGTTGGTTAGTGAAACTGATCGAATATCTGGCTGTCTCCCGCTTCTACTCACTGGCAATGGTCTTGATGGGGACCTGGGTGTTCTGGGTAGCACCACCGATGAGAGAGATGGAGATCTTCTCGCCGGAGTACTTGGGCTTGGCCTGCCAGGTGATGTCGAGGGTGGTGCCAGCGGAGACCTCCTCCCAGTTGGTGGGAGTGAGAACGGGGTCGAAGTCGGCGACCTGGGCGAGGGCCTTAGCGGCGAAGGCCATGAGGGCAGCGGCGGAGATGGTGAACTGCATCTTGAAGGCTGGATTTAGGAATTACGGTATATAGTAATTGTATCGAAGGAAAAGAGAGACGGGGTTGGATAATAAGAAGCTGTAAAGCAACCTAAAATTATTAAGTATAAAAAAGAGTGTGGTAGGCTGAAAGCCGAAAAGAGTGACTGGTATGAAGGTGGTGGTGAAGAGAGAGAGAAAAAACAAGAAGAAGCAGAGGATCAAGCTGGGGTTTTGTGATAAATGCCAGAGGGGGACTGGGAGTGCTACCAAACCACGACAGGGGTGGGCATTCACGGTACGTACCCCTAAGACATCTTCCAGAGTTCCCAGGTTGGGCTAACCCCTGCGGGACCATTGAGCGCCGAGGGGGGCGCTAGTGCAGGTACCATGCTGGGCTCTCCACCGGGATGGCCTTTGTGTGCCTGAGATATCCACCACACCTCCCAGCCCAGCCCGTGCCTTACAGGGACTTAGCTGCACCTGGCTGTTCCTGCGTCGGCGCTTATAGCGCACCTAGCTTAGCACGACGACATCGACAAATTCAGGGCACAGAAGGCAACCACAGCACAACACAGCACAGCCAATATTTGGGGGCCTCCCCACAAAACACTGTAGGTCGGTGAAGGCGCGTGTTCAACGGCTAGCGGAACTAGTCCAGGGGCAGGCTCTAAAGTCGGCGCGACAGGGCACTGAATCTCAAGACTCACAGACAATGCGGCTCGCTAATTGGCAGTGTTTGTCAATGCACCCCTGAGCAGCCTCTCTTACTGCGCACCAGTCACAGAAACTGTACTGAAATCCTTTGGAAGCGAATGTCGATGATCCTTCTCCCACAGGTCTCTGGATAGTCCAGTCCAGACCGATCACGGTTAGCAGTTCATCTACCACAAGAACTAGTCAGGGGAATCCTCCAATGGATTGCCATAATGATACGCCATTGAGTTGTCCCATGGACACCCGTCACAGAATGTCCGTGGTTTATTCCCCCTGGTGACCGATTGCGAATCTGGATCTGGAGCAATCTCTGCTAACATGTCTCTGGCCGTGCCATGCCATGTCTTGTGTGTTCCGTCTTCCCGTCTCAATCGCTAATAGGTATGCGGACCCTATCTTTAGAGGGCCCTGCTGTGGACTGTGTGAACAGATCGGATCATGAGGCCGAGATAATACCTGGGATCAGCATTGCTGTATGAGATATTTGCTGTGCTTGTACTCCGTACTGCAGCAAATGCATCCGCGCACCTGCTCCTGTAGGCAAACATCCCCTTGTCATCATTCGTCCGAAAAGATGGGATGTAATTAAACTCGAGTGGGTGAGTTTCTGTCGATTGGCTACAGGCTGGGGCGCACATGTCGGCGATTCGGAGACCCCTGCTTGGCATTGAATTGGGCCGCCTGTTGGTTCTCTTCCAACTCCTTTCCGGTCGCTGACGGACACTGACTGATCTTTTTCTTGCCGACTCATGACCCATGCTCACTCAATGCTCATCGAGACCTCTTTCTAACAAGATTACCTAGGATTTCCAACTCCAGGGTCTCAGGGGTGCTAAGCCGGTTTCCGGGCCTGATCGCCGTGCCCCGAGATGATATGGCTATTCTTGTCTCTAGTTATCGTCGCTTGCAGGCGTGGCAATCGAGACTCTTTTCAGTGCATTCGCTTGCTGTCTTTCTTGTCTTGCTGCCCTGCATTCCAGCTCTTGGCGGGTTTGGGACAGCATCTGTGCTTTTTCCCTGCTTTTTCTTGTGCGACAGTTTACGTCAGCGTCAAAACCGTCTTGCAACGTCGGAAGCAAAATACTGGTAGGGTAGACAATTGAACCCGACAGGGCAGGGACAAGATTCTATCCGAAACATGCGTTCTGTCTGCGGATGATATGTAATACTGTTGCCAGAAATTCTATGGAATCTCTTGGCCCCGGTATAGAGTTGCAGATGAAACGCCCCAGCTAAACTCTGAGCCGGGTTGGCAACGGCTCTGTTTCCACAGCCTGCTATACTGGACAACTTACCGAATGGGGGAGTGCCCGAAAAGGTTCAGCGGATGAGTTAGAGTTCCGTATAAGCTCCTATGTCAAACTCTACTCTAGTATTCATCAAGCTTGATGCTGGTTGATATCTCAATGCAGCTAATAGAACAATTTGCCATACTGCCATAGGCTAACAGTAAGATTTGAGTAGTCTGCCACACCAAATAGTTTCTATGGCCTTTCTTTCAATCGATTGGGTTTGCTGAAGAAACAATCTTGTACAGGCCCTGTGTAGCCGCTGTGGCTCTTGTAGGGCTGCTTATTCCTTTGCTGGCTTGGCATGGACCTCCTCTTGATAGGTATCAAATAGGCGAGTTCGGCGCACAACGACTCCAGTGACTAACAAGAGCCTGTTGATAGTATACCCAAACCCACGATACTACGTGGTATGTGCTGCTTGACGATCGTTTGTGACGTTAAAGTCAAAGGAAATTGAACCGTTGAAACGATCACGGGGCATTATGGCACCATTTCCGATCTGCCGGCCTTGCTGTTGGCGATGGTTCACGGAGTAATTTAACTGCTCGGCTCGAGCACACGACCAAGTCAGCAACTACCAACAGGTCTCTGCATGAGAAACAAACATGCCCTAAAGACAGGATGATTAATTCATCTATGCGAGGTCGCTTCGATGAGAGTTCCACAGCCGAGTCACAACTCAGACGCAGCTTTCTCACCCAGTGATTTCAGTCACTCCAGCCGCTTCAAGCTCAAATAATCCCCTCATGGCCAAAGCGTTTCTGGCCCCCATGAAGAATATGGGTCAACTCATCTGCTGGCCCCTTGTGCAAGGACCCTCGCCCACTCCGCTTCGATAATGCGCTGACGCCAGAACACTTTGACTGTTGGTGTTGGCTCCATCCACCAATAGAACCGATAGCTACGCCGCATCTAATCTGCGATACTCCTGGAAGCTTTGCCTCGAAAATGGACGGTGAGTCCCAATTCAGCAGGCACGAGAATGACGTGCTCTAAGAGGTGTGTGCTGAAGATTACATTATGGAAGCCTTGCGAGCTGCAGGTCTAGGTAAGTTACAACAGTCTGTTAGGGTTGAAGAACAAATCGGAGAGTCAAAGATACACCCCGATCTCTTAGAAAACCACTGAACCACCTATCAACATCTCAACACACAATGTCAACTAAATGCAATTAAATCAAGCAATTTTCAGCGAATCAAATGCAGACGCCAGAACCGCACTTGGTCAAACGGTTGGCAGAACGGCTTTGACTCCAGACAGCCACAGCTGAGGAGTAGTGCTGGCGACATCCATACCTTAGGTTACCTCACCTTATTAGCGTCACCCCCACTCCAAGTCACTACAGACGGTACATATGCTTAACGCTTAATAGCAGCTCCCTAAAGTATCTTGGCTAACGGAGGTTTACTTACGCCACATTGCACTATTCTTGCTAAATATCACCAGCAGTTTGGGTAACTTTACTGGCACGTTTCCAGAAATTGTCCCGACTGGTGGCCAAGACCTAAGATTGCTTAGATCGAGATGCCCAGAGCGCCTCTGTACGATCAGATCGATGTTTTCGATATTGAAGAAGCCTTGACGTGAGAATGAAAAGCTCGAAATACGCGGAATGGTCGACCTAAGCCACCGGAATGTTGGCAAGTCTATGAGTAACTGTCTCGCGGCCATGTCGGTCGCGGAATGTCTGATAACCTGGCTGCTTGGCATGGATTTGCACTCAGGTTACGAAACTGACACACAAGGGATGGCTTCAACAGAGACAACGCTGGGAATAAGCAAAAGGGCCACGATGGTCCCCAATCGCTAGTCTCAGCCGCGACAATATATTAGTCCTGAATCAGCTCGAATGTAATTCATGCCGGAGGCAGAGTAGCCCACTATTGTAAGACCAGATCCTACTATTTCCAAGATTGAGTCAAAACAAACAAAAGGGGACACTTCAGAGACGCCACGGGTAACCTTTCTCATGGTAAACGGCGCGGCACGCGATCAATAGCCTGAATTGAAGTTTGAACCGAAAGTAGTGGCTGCAGATTCAATATCCCCCTTTCACAGAAACCAAGATCTGACCAATGCATCCCAACATCGAGACTCTTGACCGCCTCCAATAGCATGCAAAAATTTACATCCTGGCACTCTTATTGCCTATACAGTCGCCGGCAGCTGCAGCTGAACTGGTCTAGACACTGCGCTCCATCCATGGCAATAAAGGGGTTCAGCACTCGATTCAGCACGGCACAATGGAAAATACACCGGAATGTCGCAGATTGGGCGCCGTGGCTGAACTACCGGACGCCCTCTCGCCCCGGCCTTAGAGACGACGATGGAAAGCTTCTTTCTAACCGTGCCAACGAGGTTATCATCTCTTACTATATCGCCAAGGTATTATCAGACAATCAGGGTCTACCTGACATGGATGCTAGGGAAGCCAATGAACCTGGAGATCTTAATTCTGGATGGGAAAAAATATCAGGCAAAGGCCTAGGTAAATTGGTTTAAACTTCGGGGTCTCTTGACTCTTTCTGATGAGTTTATTTTGACAATCTCCTCCACAGTCTTGAAGTTTGTTACTCCCTGAGGCCAGGGGCATCCTGAAGCTTCCACTGTCAGCGCCCCAACTGCTAAACTTTACCCCCAAACTTGAGTCTTGAATCAGTGGAGGGCATCGGTTGCCTCAATGACATCAACTGCCGAAAACATGCCTCTCTGTGATTGGGTTCCCCGGAGATGAGAACCTCAGAGCTGCCCAAGTTGGAAGTTGATTGCTTCACTCCACAAACCAAATGAATCCCTTCCCCCCCCATTTCCCCAAACTAATGGTAGTTTCCGGATCTTCAGGAGTGGCTTTTCGGGCTGACCAATAACAGCTTATCAGTTAATTGCACTCCTTGAATCACTGACGGTATAATTTTAGGAAGTGCAATTTAATGCAATGCTACCTTCAAAGTTTGATCAATACTCATTTTATGCGCCGACTCGAGTAAGATTAGTCCCTATTTTTAGTTGCAT